CCAAATATGTTTATATTTTTTATATATTGGCATTCACATAATAATTTGAAGAAAAGGTTCTGAGCTGTAAGAGTTTCAAAGTGATGGTAAATAGTTTTTATTTCTGATTTTTTTCATGCTTATACAATAGCTTGAACATTGTTCCTAGTCTCAAATGAACACGACAATCACACAGAACCATGCAGAAACACAGGAAGGATCTAAGTAGGACAGCATCTCAGTAGGAAACAGTAGGCCCTAACTTGGCTGTGTTTTGTCATAAAAGTTTGTCATTGCAACAGAACATGTCAGGAGGAGAAAATTTAATCTCCCTACGAATAGCACATATGATGTTTTTCCCCCATGCCTGATGAGAGTTAGACATCAGTTTTTTGAGTTGTCATTGTCAATTCTGACTTGACCATACAGTGTACACATTATCTAAGTCACAATAGCAATGTATCACCACACAGTTATATTTTTGCTTTACAGGTGTGACCTGAACACGAACATGAACATAATGGAATAACAGATATATGATAAGGAAATATATTGGGAATACATAGATCAGGATATTTCACAAATTCATATCTGAAAACTATGTTAAAGATGTTCGATAAAATCCTAGATCCTAGAAAGAACAGTGGGGCAAAATGTCCTAAGTTGATACATATTCAAATTTTCAAATTTAAAATAGTTACAGGATTTCTTTAAGTGGCTTTCATTTAACATATGTGAACCACAAGGAAAAATGTACTTAGGGCCACTTGAAAGCACCATTCCAAATCCATTATTTAAACATTTCTGGAGTAAAATAACATTTATTATCTAAGGTTTATTTAATAGGCCTCACTATCACATGAAAATTGTCAAGTTGACCCTCAAGCTATCTCAGTAAGTACTTAATAGGCTAAAAAAGAGGAAGAAAGAAAAATAAGAAAAGATATATGAATTTTTGATTAATAAGAGGATTAACAAGACTAATTTGACCTAATTTGAAGTGAAAAATATCTCCGTAAATACAAAAAAAACCCTGCCTATTTGTTTTTGCATAGTTTAAATTCAATTTTCAGATTTTAATATAATGCAAAAAAAAATACATTATTCCACATGGATTACAGGGCAGATGGCGTCAAAATGATAATTTGTATATTTGTATAATAAGGACATGTTTACCCTCCTCCTGTCAAATGTAACAATTTCTTTGTACAAATTTCTCAGTTCATTAGGTTAATAACTACCTGTTAGTAACAGATAAAGCCACTGAATTGCACAAACAGAGTGCTTTCTACTCTTGAGTTTCCTAATAAGGTCCCAAACTGCTATAAAGCCATAGGATCTTATTTTATAATTGCTTCATAACCAACTGTCAGATAGAAGTGCTAATAAAGTCATTACATTTTCTCCTTTTCTAGGATTTAGCTTTTTACTTCTTTAGAGTAGTAGTCTCTTTAAATTTGGAAGAGGCTGGTCTATCTCCAAGCAGACCTATATTTCCATAGATCACAAGTACACAGTGTAATAATTCGACATCACTGCAGCTTATATAGGAAGGCAGAAAAGCACTGTCCTAAAGGATGTAGAGGTACTGGTCATTGGTAAAACATGGTGCTTGTTGTAAATTTTCAGGAGGTAGACTGTATTTATTACCAGTAGGGAGATTTTAGTTTTAACTCCAGAGATTACTTTTAAATTTATATATACATATATATGCATCTATATGAATATTGGATAAAGGAGGCCAGAAAAAGGGTACCATTGGCATTTTGGAAGAATAATTCTTCATGTGGGGGGACTGCCTCATGTCTTACAAGTTGTTTAGCTTCTCTGGTTCTGGTCTACTAATTTTTGGCAGTACCCCTCAATCATTGTGCCCACACTCACAAAAGGTCCTGCTGCTAACGTATTTGAAAGGTCAATCTATACCAGTTACATAAACTATCCTATGGGCCATTAGATTACAAAAACCAGGTTTCTCTTCACTTATAAGCCAATAATAGCTAACTTCTAAAAGTTAAAAAATAAAAACAACTACTCCCATAATATCTTTTTAAAACCAATGGAGGGCATATGGATGAGTCTTTTTCTCCCTCCTACTAACCCACGTGTGAGGTGAAAGAAATAGGACTTTCAAATGTGTATTTATTCCTCAGTGTTTTCATAGTGGCAGAGAATCAGTGGAGCAGTCGTAAAATTATTTCTCAAAAAACTCATCCAAGAAATTAAGTGTTAGGAGAATTTGCCTCTCCTTTTTTTGTAGAGAAGAACCTGCCTGGATCTTGCAACTCCAGGGCAAGTTCTCCTCTCAAGGCACAGTGAGAAGGCAATATTCAGACCCCAATAGAATGGCTCAAATAAAACACTCTGCAAATGCTTTTGAATCGAAAAAGACAGCAACAATCACCTCTTTGAGAGTATAGAAAAAAATGCAAAAAGGTGACCTAACTTGGAATCCTAATGCTCTTCATTCCTTAAGAAGATCAAGGTGCTGAAAGGGAACCCACAGGCTTTCATTATCAGAGTCTCAGTAGGAACAGTACCTCCTTTTTTCAACCTGGATTGTGTACTTTTATTTGTCACACATCGATTTTCTCATTGCTTTCTACAGTCTTCTGCTTCTTAGAATAAGCACAGGAAACTTTGTGAGGCCCCTTTATGTGTTTGCCTTTCCCAATCCATAAGGAGCAAATAAAAGGACTCCATTGTACATGTTTCAAAACAAACCACTTAATTTTAAATGATGGTTTTCTTTCCTTACAAACACTGAAAGAACTATATGTCATTTAGGAAATTCACAAAAGCCTCCATTAATAGAACTCACGCATGGGCAGAACACACTGCACTGCATATAGAAGCCCTACTTCCCTTCCCTTTCTCTGCTGCGTGACCCTTCCTCAAATTCCACTTTACTGTATCAGGGATGAAGAGGACCAATTCAGACAATAGCATTTGACGTTCTCATGGTCACTAACGAAGATATTTCATGTGCATTTTTTTTACTTCCTTTTCAAGAAAATTTTTAAATCTCACAGCAAAACTTTGAAGTCATAGCATGGTTTCATCTTCTGAGCACTTCATATTTATTTATCCACCAAAGAAAAACTCTTCAATTTCTTATGCCCTCCTGTAGAGGTACCAGAAATCAAGCAGAAAGAAACCTTGTTTTCTTTTCTTCTTTTTCGTTTTTTTTTTCCCCCAGTAGATTTCTCTGTGCCTTTAGATAGGGTTATCAGTACAGCATTAATAAGAGGCAAACTTCTATAAAAATGAATCTCATTTTTCTTTACAAGTTTTTTTTTCTGCTGCTTTGCTGCAAATTTAACAAATGATGAAAAGGTTGAGGAGACAACTAAAAACTTATGTGTCTGTTGTCAGAAACCCGTTTAGGACAAATGTTTGGTCAATTTTAGTAAACCTTGGTTTTAAAAAATTGGAAATCATGTGGCAAAACCTTTCAAATTCAAGAATTGCTTGCAAAGTCCTATGAAAAGTTCAAGTAGTTTATGATGTCTCCTAGACAGAGTGGCATAGACATCCCTTGCAAAAGGGAGGGCAAGTGGAATAATGAGCAGAAGTCTTGTTTCCAAAAATGTCACTAATACTGCTGATTTGGAATTTCCTGTGACTGATGGACTTTTCCAACACCTAGGATGGTTCCAGAAGCCATGGTTTTGTAGAACAGGTGACTCCAGTTCCAAAGAGGTTTTCTCTGGTCAGTCAATTTTCCATTGTTCCTGTTCTCTGAGATCACCAATGTCTGAAGGATCTGTCCAAAGTTTTTCTTCTATTGTTATTGACACTGCTTATCCTTCATGAGATCTGAGGTATCTTCAGGTGGGCTTTCAAGATCTTCACTCCAGTTCTCTTATATTCTGACTTCAAAACAGACCCAATAGGTGAAAGATAATAACCACCCACCCACCAATGGTAGACACATAGAGATTACTTCTGATTCCATACATTCCTCTTTCCTCTAACAATCTGTCAAACATTCCTATGATCTAAGAGAAAGGTAGGGTATAATGTAGTTTAAGGAAACTAGAGTGATCATGAAGCTGAGCCTTGAGGCCAGATCGAATATCCAACTCCCTGTTAAGCTCACTGGACATTTGTCTTCCAAAAGAATCAGATGAAGTTTGTTTTCTTTCATTAGGAGTCTGGTGATTAGCAAAAGGCCTGGGTCAACCACTTTAGTTCATCCCTTGTGTAATAGGTTGGGAGCTGCACATGAGCAAACTAATCCGTGACAAGAATAGCCTGAGGAAATAATGATCTTTGCAGAACTGAAAAGCATCTGGTGAGGAGGCAGTTACGACCAGATGGGTGTCATTCAGTAACAAACCTCCACCTGTGAGAAGGTGCCCACCAGTCTGTGATGAACCATCTTCTATAACTGCCTCTAAATCAACTTCAGGGCAAGATGGCCCTCCATCTTCTAATCAGCTAGCTCTACTTAGTACAAGTGATTTCTCTACCACTGCCTTGCTCCTAGATGACTAAGGGACTTCCATTCTGGGGTAAATAAACCTAGCCTTTCCACTAACAAATCTGGCAGCCAGCCAGGAGTAGGGGCTCCAGTCGACCTCGGAGGGAATATCTCCTGGGTAAGTCTCCCCAGCTGCCATGGCCTCTTGCCTTGGGGGCTGTCCTCCGGCTTTCCGGTTCTGTTGCCCATAGTAGCCTCCAAATGCTACTTGCTGTGGAAGAGAGGAGTTGTCTCTGGTAAATCAAGGGACAAAATCTGGAGTCACCTAGAGTGTATCACTGAAAATTCTCTTCCCCTCCATCTGGCTTACAGAGCACTCTCTGGGATTGGGAATGGTTTCAGGACTTCCCCCAGAGTCTCAGAACTGGTTCCCTGGTGTCTGGGGTCTTTTGTTTTTGGTAGGCAGGACTGCTAGGTATATCTGTGCTTAAGGTTGGCAAGATAGTTCTGCTAAATCTGGAAACCAGTTCACTGGTGTCTACTTTTCTCTGTGTCTACTCATCTCTGTATATAACTGGAATGGGGAATGTGATGTGTCACTAAGTGGAAACTGTTGGGGATAGTTTTGAGTAGATGGTGCCTGAAAATGGATTCTAGAGAATTTAATCCAAACTGGCCAGGGTGAACTGCCCCTAGACTTCCTAAGAATAACTTTGTGGGAGAACTAGTTATCTCCTCAGGTTCTCTGGTCTTGCCTTTTGTTGTATATACTTACTGAATTTGGCATTTCCTTATCCAAATTTGTGACTCTTATAAGCCCAAGTCTGTTTCACCACTTTGCTGATTGCTGACCATATTCTACAATATAACCTTATCAGAATAATTTAGTCAAGCCAAATTTAAGATCATGTCTCTTATCAAGTTGTTGTCAATGGAACAATTTATTATTTTGTTTTGATAAGAGTTTCTATCTACAAGCTCTATTAAAGCAGAAGGATTCTAAAATTTTTCCCCAATCTACTTTGGACCCAGGAGACTATCTGTAGTAGAATCTTCTAAGACACTGCTCAGTTTCCTTACGATTCGAAGATGAGTCTTGTCTAACTTAGAGCTTAAAGGATGTCTAAACATAAGATTTGTTGATAATGATATGAAAATGTACATTGCTGTTATTGTTGTACTAAATATTAAAATGCATTTAGAATAGTAGATAATTAAATTTGAAGAAATTTAATTTCTTCAAATATTTGACTTCTAGAAAGACAAATATTAACAAGCTATTTTCTCTATATATTTTATATTATATATTAACTGTAATTAGCATGTTGTAAACACTGGGGGTTAAAAATTGGTAAACAAATATTACACTTGAAGACTCACCTTGGGGTCCAGGGTCTCCTGGTGGCCCAGGTAACCCATCCTTTCCTGGTGGTCCAGGCCTCCCATGAGCTTGAGCAGCCAACATTGCTGCTGGCAGCTTGAGTTGGGATAGAAACACAGCCATCCTCTCTTCATTTGTGAAAGAAAAAAATAATATGTAATAAATATTTTTGTCAAAAACTTTCAAAAAAATTTATATAAAATTTTAAATTCAAATTGAAGCACATCTAATTTCTGACTGCTAAATGTATTTGAGACATAAAATTAATTACATAAGGTTGTTTAAATATAGAACAGTTGTGTCACTCAGAGGCTCTGAATTGTCAGGGCTCCTGAGATGAAGTAGGCTAGTGGTTAGAACATTAGTCTGAAAGTTAATTAACTTCTGGTTATGACTTGTGGAGAGAATTTAGGTCCACATTATGGTTTTAATAACTTTTAAGCACTTTGCAAAAAATGTTGTAAATGTGCGGTAATTTTAAAATATCTTCACAAATTCTTTGACTCTTCCAAAGTTGGGAGTGAGGGCTGAGTTTTCTTATGACTTTTTTGTTTTTGTTTTTGGTAGTGGTGCTGGGGGTTGAACTCAGGGCCCTGCGCATGTGAGGCAAGTACTCTAACAACTGAGCTATATCTCCAGCCCCTGAGTTTTCTTATGAATAGGAAAAAAAAAAAGAACTAATAATGTGCAACTAGAGAGATACCATGGCTTCCTAGTTGCCAAGGAAGCCAGCTGCCACGAAGTAAGAAGTCCCACATAGAGAGGAATTGATGTCACCTGCCAACAATCATGTGTATAAATTTGGAGGCAGATCATCCCCAATCAAGCCTTTAAATGACTGCAGCCCTAAATGACATCATGATTGCAACTTAATTATAGATTTGAAGCCAGAACCATACAACTAAACAACACGTCAAGTCCCTGACCCATAGAAAATACAACCTAATGAGTGTTTATTATTGTAAGCCACTGACATTTGTAGGTGTTTTCTTCTGCAGCAACAGGCAACTCATATAGTATATGACCATTGTTATCCTTGAACAAAATTGCATTAATGATAAAGATTTGTTTATTGAAAATATTGCCGTTAGCTCCATACTCACTTATGTCACTATTTATGCTTTATAGTGGACAAATATTATAAATTGTCAAAAACTAATTTATTTCTTGATAAGGGTATTTAAGATATCTTCTTTATTCACTTCTGTTTGAATAAGGGCTCACTAACTAGAAATTCAATCAGGGTTTTAGTGGAATTTCTAATTTGGCCAAAGGGGAAAAAAATTCAGCATTGGTACAGAAGAGCATTCTCTCAATTGTAGCTGTAGGCACAGTGAAAATAACAAAGTCTTTCTGTAAATTTCTGTGAACCTGAAAACACTGAAGCTAAGAACACACAAATTATGGGGAATTGACATTATTCAGAACACTTAAAAATGTTAACTAGATATACAAAAACCTTCTGTGAGTAAAATACTTTCTAAGCAAGCAAAAATGATTTCTCATTGTCCTTGTCCTTTATTCTCCAAACTGCCTGGTGCCTAACTCTGTTCTTCTAGATCCTGGAGAAATGATTCAAGCAGAAAGAAAGCACTCAAAGCTCCTCAATGCAGCTCAGCCATTGCTGGTGAAAGCACCTTTACCATGGGCATCTTGGGGGGCAACTATTAATACTTATTAGTCAGAGGGCTTTAGATGAAAGCATATGTGATACAATTTATCACTGGGTTCTTTAGATGAAAGCATAAGAAGTTGATATATTCATGAAATTTAAAGGATATGGAAAGTAAAGCCTAAGGAATGTATATAGGAAAATGTAAGAATTTTCAATTTAAAATAAGTTTCTAAACAAGATATGTTAGTTAAATTTGCTAAATATTCTTTCTAAGCAGGACTTCGAATGACAGATTTTATACTTTCTGCTTTAATTGCTCTTGTTGTGCAATAAGGGAAAGATGATCATTTAAATAAGAACTATTGTCTGTTTTTATAAGCTTAATATACTCTGAAGAGTAATTGCTGATAATTAACAGGTTAGAAATAGTCTGATAGAACAGATTAGGAATATGTTATATAATTACAAGATATTTTTATTCAATTACTTTTTTGAATAGTCACTTCAGAATTATACTTATCACTACTGAATTCTTGGTTATTAATCCCACATAGACTATTATTGAGTTAAATTTTACCTCATAAGCATATTCAATATTTTCCAACTATCTGGAATTAATTTTGATAATGTCATTAATTCAATCAAAATCTATAATAAATATAATCTATCACTTGGTTCTTTATTTAAACTTGTTTATCTTATATTATCACATATATGCATGAATATAAGCTTGGATACACACATGTATGTATATCCAAGCTAATTTATAGATAATTAGGTTTAAAATAGAAAACTGGAGGAAGGCATAGCCTTGTCCTGATGAATATTAATGATGTTTCTTTTCACATAGAATCATCAAAAAGCAAAATCTCTTAGTAATTCAAATGATTTCATTTGTAAGATATAAATACAATTTTTCAAGAATACATGGAATATCATAAGAAATCTATGTAAAATAATCAGCCTGGGTTTCCTTCAGATAAATCTTCCAGAAGCATTTCTTACAGATGAAGTTAGTGTTTTTTTTTTCCTTCTACATAAAGACCAAATGATGGTAACATACTAGGAACTGCTGGTTAGAAAACACATAGGCCAGATCATGCAGACCTTGTAAGAAATTACTTCAATTCCCTTCAATCTTCTCACTTAGTTTAGTTCATTTACAAAGCTGAACTGCAAAGTTGTGCTTCACTTAAGCAAATATGTATGTTTTACAAATTTGATAAATTGCTTTGGAGTGAAACTTGTTTTACTATGGGCTATCAATAAAATATTAGAAACAATGTAGGCCCTTAAACTACTTAAGAAAGTATAAAAAAATTTCGTAGAGAATTAAGGGGGAAATCCCAACATATGTTAAACATTAGCTGTATGATCAGAGAGTAACTACACTAACATCCCAAGTCAGAAAGGAAGCAAAATGGAAACATAGATTTAATGATGACTGTGAGACATGTGGATCTTATAGTGCTCATCCCAAGGACTGACATTAAATTATCTTCCTTATCATAAAATGTTTATCACCTGAGTCTCTACCTGGGATGTTTTGTTGATGTTAATATATTTAATTCCAGTAACAGATGAAACAAACATGTAATTAACATGCAATTAGTTTTGCAAATCATGTTGAATGTAAATTAATCATATTATAAACTGCTTTTTGAAGCAGGAAATTCGATGTTCATACATTGAAATGTGTAGTATTGTTTTGCACTTCAAATATGGTCAAATATATAATTTAAGTGTCTTTGAATGCCTTCAATGTCTAAATATAAATATTCACAGTACTCATTTTTCCTCCTTAATGTATGAATTGAATTTACAAGTATTTTGCTTTGGGTGGTTTTTTAATATTTTTAGAAAAACAATTTAAATCTAGCTGTAAATTATCTAGCTTTAAGATATATTCAGAAATAGTCATTTAGTATAAGGCTAATTGCCTCTTCTGAACCCTACCCTAATGCTCTATAATTTAAAATAATATGTTTCTGAGCATTGAAATGAATTATAAAATCCTGTTATCTTAATTGCCTTTCCTCTGTTTTCAGGGATCTTCAGTCAATTAAACTGTTTTTGGCTATGCTTTCTAATGAGGCAGGAAATTAAAGAGTTTAGATTAGAGGTGTACATAAACCAAACACACATGCCATCTGTCAAGGTAGAAACACAGTCGTCTAACAAACAGACTTCCTTGGAAAAAGACATCAATGTGATGATAAATTACATTATTCAGAATAGGAAGAGACATTCAGATATCTTCTGGTCCACATCTCTTCTCTGTTTCACAGAGGGAGTTTGACTCTTTGAAAATCATCTTTTTCTCCTAATGCCCAATGTTTAATTGCCCATTTTCTAAGTATAACATCATCTTATTTTCTTTTGTTACTCCTTTATGCAAATAGTAGTTAATGAATATTTATCTTGGGAAATCAGTCATACACTTGATAATGTTGTCACTTCTTAGTCTTAAGGTTAAATAACTTTTATTCATATGCTTAATAATTTGGTAAATCAGTTTTTGGTTCCATTATTCCAGAGTTTTCCCATATGTCTCTTAAATGTGGAAACCAAAATTATATATAATTTTCTCCTAAGGGGAAGAAGTATCAGAAGAGTAATTTGCTATGATATCTAATTTTTTAGTTTCATTTAAGCTGTTAATTCAATAGTATCATGTAGATTCACATTTATTTTGTGGTTCATCGTCTCCAAAGGTTACTACTACATTTATTTTTGGTATACTACTTTGCTCCTTTGTAAGCATGTTGCTTTGAAATGTTGTTATGGGTATAGATGATGGATTGAACACATGAGTTTTTTACCTCCTAAATACCTGAAAAACAATATTAAGAACTTTCAGAGGCATAATACAAGAATGGGGAGAATATAAAAGGAGACAATAGCAACAAAATTTTGGGACTTGAGAATCTGATGGCTGTGGGATGTGTAGCTTAGACTTGAACTGAATCTTTATACTGAAAGTTGGGAAACAACCTGATTAAAGTCACAGAATCCCAGGAATTGGTAGTATAAGTTCCTCAGAAATTGAGGTTAAGGGAGAATTGGTTGAAAGTTTGTATCATAAGTCCTAAAACTCCATTTTCTACTCTATATAGTTGGGCAGTTGGCCTTCCCTAGCCCCAGCTAAAGCCTGAACATTTATTTGAAAAGGGCAAATAGACCATCTCTACATTGGGACCCCAAATGCTGCTGAGACTCTGGATTCAATATCAAAAAAAAGGGAAATAAGTGTACATTTACATGCTTCCTGCATAACTGGTAACCAGGCTGGAAATGGAAATGTCTCCACTGAGGAATCTGACCTCTGAGAGACATAGATACTGAAATTGAGGTCCCCTAACTTAAAAGCCCAGCTAGCTATTCTAAAGTGAAGACCTGTTCACTCACAACTTCAATCAATTTTTAAAAAATATTTATTTTTTAGTTGTAGTTGGACACAATATTTTTATTTTTATGTGGTGCTGAGGATCAAACCCAGGGCCTTGCACATGC